TCCTGATCTGCTCCATGATGGGGCTGTAGTCCCCACTGAGCCCTTTTCTTTCATTAACAATTCAGAAGGAAGAACTTTGATTCTCAGAGGAAGGCAAGAGCTGTAATAGAAGGGAAATAAAGCTTTTCTGGAGAATATGACATGTTCTTTTCCTACTTCTCCCCTTTCTCCCCTCCCCCCACAAAGGCAAATGTGAATAAAACAAATGTTCTTCTTTTTTTTACTAGGTTTTCCTTATTTTCTTTAAAAAAATTTAACATGACTTCCCAGTCAAAAAATGAGCAAAATCATCATGTATCCAATCACTCTAAAATTTGTGTTAATAGATGGAAACAAAATAAATTGTGATTGCTGAAGACTAGAGGAAGATCAGCTAATTAATATCTACACACACACACACAAATGTCAAGTAATCATTCCCAATTTCCTTCACAAATTTCATTACGGCAAAACAGCTGTTTGTCATTGTTTCCAGAGGCATTTTGTAGTGCTGTGTGTTACTGCTTGCTTCCTTGGGAGGCAAAATGCTCCTTTAATTGTTACACTTTCAGGAGCATACCACTGGCTAGCTCATAAGGTAGTGTGTTAGCAAGGTCTACGAGTATTTTCCTGTGAAAAGAAAATCCCGAGGTACCTGTCAGCAGTAGGAATGAGTCACTCAATAGCATCACATCCTACGTTTGAGCTTTGATCCCCTGTATAAAACCTAGGAATTTGGGTTTGTGTCGTGTAATGCTGTCCCTTGTCTCTCTTGCTCCCTTATCTTTCCTTGTTCCAAGAATTAAAAACCCCAGGGTCTCCTTGAAGTGCTTGTCTGTATGTGCATTGAATACTCAAGTGCTGGAAGCTGAAGAATTTTTTAGCTTCAGCGGTACTCAGATTTGCGTGGCTCCCACACACCCCTTTCACGTTCCTGTCCCCATGCATGCCATCGTAGAATGACCACCGCAATTGGCCCGCAGAGGTTGTTGAGCGCTGTAATTTGGTAGCTGCTGAAGGTGGACTGTCCTGTTCTGACATGCCATTGCAGGGAAAAAAAAATGAACCACCCTAAAATAAAACCCAGAAACACTTTGTTGCTTTTCTGTTCTATGGAAAAAATAATTTCCTATTATTTTGGGGGACTGGGGCGTCAGAGTATAGCTCCCCCCTCTCTCTGTGGTGATCTGTAGGCAGCAGAACTCAGAACCTATTCAGGAGCGTCGGTATGTGGCTACTTTAGTTGACCAGGCTGACTCTTCTGCCAGACCCGAGTCCAGCTCCTGTGTGCGCAATTCATTGCTATTCCTTCGCAGGATCGCCTCATGCCCCACTCCGTAACGCAGCCTGGGCCATGCGCAGCAGCTGCTGCAGTGTGTAACATTGCTGCTGCAGCGGGTGAAACGCGCAAAGCTGTCAGATAATGCTGCGTGCTGTGCCAGCGACACCTGGGTCCTGTACCCACCACCTGAGAGTGCCTGCCTCTTCCAGGACCAGACAGGCTTCTGGACCAAGGTCATCCCTCTGTGCAAGGTGTGCTGGCCGTTCTGGGCTCCGTGCCCGACAACCAGCATTAAGGTTGGTTTCATCTGTGGTTAATGCAGAGGTGCTTCAGATGGCATAGTCATCTGGGCAGCCTCCAGTGAACTCGTCAGTCACTTCTCAAGCCATCCAAACCTCCCTCTCAGCAGTATCTCTGCAAGGAAGCCCTTTCCTATGGTTCCTCACCATGCAGACTAAGAATGGCAGATGCCCATGTCCTGGAGCAGGACATTCATTACAGCAGTGACAGAAGGGCAGAAGCAGCGATCACTTACCCAATTCACTGTCCGTACCCTGAACTCTGAGCAGGAGGAAAAGCATGTGTGTGTCTCCCACCACTCAGCACTAGAGATTTCGCAGCTGACTAGTGGCAGATTCTCTGTTTTGGGAAGAGCATTAAAACTTTTGTTTGACCACTTCCCACTACTCTGCCATGTCATCCGGCCGAACCGTTGACCATGTTATCAGAGGGACTCCATCATCTTAAATTCATGGCTGATGAAGGGAAGATGCACAACTTCCTACTAAAGGAAGATGCACAACTTCCTACTCCTAAATGAGTTTATTATGTATGCTTTACATACACAGCCTATGTGAGCCTACCTTGTCTGAAAGTCCCCTGAAGGTCCGATAAAAACTGTTTCTGTGATGTACCTGTTCCTGCACCTCCTGGAATGCATGCTGGCTCTGCTCGCCTGGCTCTCACGTCAGTCACTAACCAAGCCTTGCCTTTCTTTAGCTCACAGTCCACATGTTTAAAGGCTGCAGAAATGAGCACAACCTCCTCAACAGCGCCAGGCCCCAATAAAAGGGTCTGATCAATAGATAAGCTTATCCAGGACAGATCAATGTAGCCAAACACAACAACTACTCCCCTTTCTGCTGTCATAGTTTTCCTCGGAGATCATCCTACCTGTGACTGAAGCTTTCTTTTCTGTGACTGAAGCCAACAGGTACAGTTCTCCAACCATCTCGATCTTGAATCCGCACAGGGTGCTGTTACCCACCACAAAACTCCTTAGGAAGTCTGCCTTTCTTTTCCTTTACTTCGCTGATACCAGTAGTGGATCAACACTTAAAACCTGTGAAAGCCTGTTTCTACCTTCGTCTGTCAGTAAAGACCTGGTTTTGGTGGCAGTCATAGAATCACAGAATGCTTTGGGTTGGAAGGGACCTTTAAAGATCATCTAGTCCAACCCTGTCATCCCCCCACCCCTTCACCATTGACAGGGACATCTTTCACTAGATCAGGTTGCTCAAAGCCCCATCCATCCTGACCTTGAACACTTCCAGGGATGGGGTATCCACAACTTCTCTGGGCAACCTGTTCCCATCTCTCACCACCTTCATCCTAAAAAAATGTATTCCTTATCTCCAATCTAAATCTACCCTTTTCCAGTTTAAAACCGGTGCCCCTTGGTCTGTCACTACAGGCCCTGGTAAAAAGTCTCTCTGTCATCATTAGGAAAGGGCTAGGTCTTGATTGCAAGTTCTTGTCTGCTTTCCTTCCCAACAGGCTTTTCCAGAAGTTGAAATCTATGGTTTTGGACTGGTGCTGTATTCCACCCAACTCAAGAAATTACCCTGCCAGCACTGTTTCTTGTCAATGGCTTTCAGGGATGCAACTTCCTTGCCCATCTTGGATGCCAGGCAGGTGTTGGCACTTTTTTGTTCTTACTGTTTTTATCCTACACAGAACAGACCCTTTCAGACAGTGAGTTTCTTCATGTCTGTACCTTGGCTATCCCCCAAGCCCCAAAGCATTCCTGGGGTTTACAAGTGGGGTCCTATTCCGGCCCTGTAAGCTCTGGTGTGTAAGCTACTACTGCTGGAGGGGACAGGCAGCGTGACCAGACATACTGATAGGCACTTGACGGGTAACGAATAGTTGCTGACCAGCAACTGGAGCTCACAGACATACTACTGACAACGCATCTTTCTACTTGTTTCTTTCAGCATCCCTGGAGATTATGGGAGCCGCTTAGAATAGCGATGGTAAGCGGAATTGGGGAACGGAGGATGCGTCTCATCTGTTTATTTCCATAGCGCTTGGTGCAAGCTCCAACAAATACGGTGGAGACAGCAATGCCCGCAGTGAAAGTACAGCCTGCCGTGTTCCTCTGGGTGCTTGCTATGCTGAATCCCTTCACTTCTGCAGCATAAGGATCACCAAAATCCCCTAGGAAAGCTTTCCAGGATCACGTCCTCTTAAGAATCAATTTTTTTAAAAGGTCACTATGCTTATAAAACATCAACTAGACATTTATCTGCATCTTCAAACATCTACACAATCATCCAAAAAAAAGGCCAGAACAACACAGATTTGTAGCTATGCCTGAAGAAAGCTAGAAATGATTCTAAGTCCCACACTCAGCAGCTATCGCTTCCAAGGCTAGGGACAGCAGCAGGTACAGCCTGCTTAAACACAGCCATCAAGTAGCTGTTGGCAGTTCGGCCCAACAGTTCCCATGTGCTCCTAACCAGGCGAGAACCATTGCTTCCTCTCACCTCAGAGACATCGTATGCAGTTAAAATTCAGTCATTACTTTACCAGAGCTTTTATGTGTGTGCCTGATTGATAGTATGATACTTAACCAGAGTTAAGTAATGGTTTGCTTTGTGAGCAACAATTTCGTGCCTGCCCATTCAGATTTCAGGAAAACCCATGAGAAAATGTCCTGGAGTATGCTCTGACTGACTCTTCTGGGCTATCTTCTTCCCTCTGAGCCCTTCAGACTAGGCATGGGGCAGACCATGAACGGAATGAACAGTAGCTACCTGCTCCTACTGGCCAGCTTTCCTGTAGACACACACCTCCGTGTGGCTGTCTAAACATATATAAACAGAATAAAAATTCTGTCTGCACCACAGTTCATCAGACAAGTCGCTTGTGTTGGGAGAAGCACATGTTCAACATTATAAATGCCGAGCAGTGACTCCCAAGATGCCTGTCCTAAGTGACAGTATTTTCCTGTAGCAATACAGACATCAGCTTTTCCTCACCCTACAGTCTGACCTGTGCTCAGATCACTTTAAGTATTAAATATTCTCTTAAATGCCACCCTGAAACGAGTATGTGACAAACAGATTTCATTTTCCTCTACACGGTTACTTAAATGGTAAAAATCAGCAGTGCTACACGTGTCTCCTCGCTGATGTACCTTCTCCATGAAAGCAGAGCATCTCTGCCATGATTCATTGTCTGTCAACGTGAAGTTTCCTGCTTAGAAATACCCAGCTGCAATCAGTATCCTTTTGTATTCTTGGTGTAGCAACAGCGTATATAAGCATGGACTCAGTATTGTTAACCAAGATGAAACCAATAATGAAAAAGGAAGCAATTTTACGTAATTGGGTTTTTTATCCCTATTATCCCTATTTCATGAATCTAGAGATAAAACTAAGAGAGCAATTCTGCTTGTTGTGATGTCAGTTTTAATGTAATCTTTCTGATTAACAAAACTAGATAGCAATTAAAGAGTGATCGAATTAGTCTTTATTGGTTCATTGTATATAACATCTGTAAGGAAACTGCCTGGAAATGTAAGGATTGGATCTTTTATCCCACAGTACCATGAAACAAAACTAACAGCAAAAAGTGACAGGCTTATTGCATGAATATCGATGTACACAGCAGAAGGAGGTAACATTCTAACACAAGCCCTTAAAAAAAGGGTACTGTAATTTTGTTTAACCAAAATTCATATTTAACCACAAATATAGTTTTCTGCAAAAATCTTATGCTGCCACATGCAACCCCCTGTTACTTAAGTACATCCTGTTTGGGCACTTTTAAGTTTTTCCAACGCCTCAAAATTACTTTGTATTTTTCACTTTCAGTTTTGTTAGATACTTTTTTTAAGACTACCCGCATAACTACAGCGGTTCCTGTTTCTTTATCTTCACCTACTATGAGATCCAGCGTGTCACCAATTTTCACCTGGGAACAGAAAGAGAAGATGAGTGATTATAAACATGCCCTGGGGAAAACAAATCCCCGCAGTCTATGTCCAATTTTAATTTTGTTCCTTTCTTTCCATTTAATATTCTTATCTCACAGGAGAGGAGGAAGGCAGGCAATACCAGACCCATTATAAATCCTCCAGAACATCTAGGAAAGCCCTGGCAATAAGCAACTAAATGTCTATGACCTTCTCTGCCGAGAGCTTTACCCTTCCTGTTCTACAACTGACACTTTACTCTGTGAAAAAGGTGTAAGGTAGTACGTTTTTTTTTCCTGAAATGCATTTCCTGCCAATCTTTTTGTATCAACACTGAGACAAACCAGCAAAATGCAAACTTCTCCCTCCTTCCTTTAAAAAACAGAGTGCTGGTCAACTCCCCGTGTTCCTTTCAAAAGCCACAAAAGCAGTATGCCTCTCAAAAACTAGCCTTAACTTTACGGGACCAGGAATTAAAACTTCTCTTCTTATTGCCCTTTGATGACAGTAACTGCCACCTAGGATCGCCCTCACGTAAAGGGTGGGTAGAAGTATGTTTGTCACCATTCTGGTGAGCTCTGTTGGGAAAGAGTATGGCCTGCAACCCTTCTGGCTCTTCCCCTAACTGTGTTCCTGTGTGCTCTGTTACAGATACAATAACCTTTCCTGAGCTACCCCAGTTTCAATCCCTCTCTATCATCAAAATTTCTCTTTTTCTTTAATCACATGCCTGCTCCACCACTATCTCAGATTTAATCATTCCTACTCCATCAACCTCACATCTATCATCGCTTCCTTCAGCAACTTAGAAAGTTGTGTCCTTGCTACCATCTGCCTTCTCCTGACTTTCAGCCTTAGATTTTACTCTCTAATACCACAAGCCTCCCGTCTGCCTTAGGGAATAATGTCTTACCCAGGGAATCACAGTCACAGACACAAAGCTGGAAGCGGAGATAGCAATGCTACTCGTTCACCTTTGCAGAACGATTTAGCAGTTAGCTCTTCTGACCCAAGTAAAAGGAGGGAGAAGAAGAGGTCATGCCTTAGTTATTTTCTTGTACTGTATTAAAAGATTTAAATTTTAAAAAGTCTTACAGTTCTACTTTTCTTCCATAGTTTTTCTCCATTCAGCCTGAGTTCATTATTGTAGAATGCATCTTCTACTTTACTGAAGAAAAACAAGGTTTTATTGCATTTACAGTGTGCAGCAGACCAAGTGCAATTGTTTCTCTGCAGATACGTAAGACCACCACTCATATGCAAGGCACATTTCCACAACTCTAATTTGTACATAAAGGATACCTTTATTTAAGGTCAGGAAAGACTTGAACTGGAAATAAAGAAAAAGTCTTTCATAGATGTGAAATGAAATAATAAGAGTACAGTTGCTCTGTGCCACAGGTGCAAGCAATAAAAAGCTGTTTCTAAAGACCTGTCTCCTGAATATCCCATGAATAATGTCCCCTTTCCTGCACCAGCCAGTTTAATAATTTTAAATTGATCAAGTTATGCTAATATTCTGTTCTAACAACATTGCAATAGAAGGCTTCTGTAGGTTGCATGAGATCAAACACTGTGACATATTTATAGACTGCACATTTACCTGGTTGACCTAGAATGTTAGGTTTACACTTGCCATCACCTATTTCTACAGCCATTAAGTAGCGTACAATTTTACTCCCTTAATCTCAAATCAGGTCTTTTTGTATCATTTAGTACAGTATTTTGCATTTTCTTCATTTGAAATAAATAGTAACTGACAGAAAATGCCTCCATACCAATCTTAGAAATATTGCAGACAGTGAAAAGCAGAAAACAGGCTGCTTCAAGGGAGGTAAGGTGAAACAAACAAGAACACCCATACATCCAAAACGTATTTTTAGGCAGCCAAAACAGCTACACCAAAAAACTCTCAAATACTGAATTATTCCAGCAAGAACAGGGAATCAAAACTCAAATTTTAGATGCATGACATCTTTCTCATCAGCAGGCTGTTTCTTCCATACTTACTTTCTTGCAATGTCTAGACCAGCTTTCATGATCACATCATATCGAAGAGACTGCACTACTTTTTCAAGATCCTTGTAATCTTTTACTATGTTGGGGTCATCTTCAAATTCATCTTCCAAATCACTTTCCTCTTGGTCTTCATCCTCTTCTTCCTCTTCCTCTTGTACTGTTTGTCTGCTCCTTTTAGAGCTTTTGTTACTTTTGTTCCGCAGAGAAAGTACTGAGATATACTCCGGAGAAAGTCTTAGTGCACAGAGTTTTACTGGGGAAAAGCTGAAACATCTTCTGTAGTTTACAGTGCTTGCTTGGCAGGTACAGAAAACGCTTCTCCTCCAAGAGAGATACTGTTTATTAGAGGGGAATTTCTCCCACAGTCCAAACCAGACATTTAGTTTTCTAAAAGTAGTGATGGGGAGTCTGAAGCCAGTCATAGCATACCCTAAAATAAAACAAGCATGCGTAAGTAAAAATGAGCAACTGCTGTGACTAGTGGAAGGATCTGCCCAGGTACGGCATAATAGTTACTCCAAAGAGATGATTATCTAGTTCTCTATAGAGCAATGCATCATCTAAAAGTACAAGACTATACTGCTTTATGGTCTGTCTTTCTCATATACAGTCCACCATTACAAACAGCTAAAACACCAGATGAAAAACAAACACTAAAAACCCCAGCGGAATACTCCATAATTCCTTTTCTGGTGTTTCATATTAACTGTCCGAACATATTTGTGGCATTTTTACTCCCTACATCTGAAATACAATTCACAAAAGACACAGAAACGAAGTTAACTATGTCATAAAAAGCACAGGGAGACCTACATTTATCATGACATTCCCAATAAAATCTACTTGCTCAATACCGCAAGCAAGTAAACCCAGAAGAGTCGAGAGCTGCTTAACTTCAGTCTCTGCTAAGACCACAACAGTCCTGCGCGGCAGAATGCCGCACAACGTTTCCCCCTCTTTCTCCGAATGGCAAACAGCATCATGGTAGAATTCAGGAGAAATAACCCTTCTCTTACGTACTGCAACAGGACCGACGCCACCAACAACAGTCCCATGTGCAAAGGTCCCCAGCACTGCTCCCTTCTGGAGCCATCGCTAACCTGGGACAAGTAGGTGGAAACACCCCCAAAAAACCCAGATGTCTTTCAATACTCTTAGAAACTGATTTACAGTCCTTCCTAGCCAGGTGGAGCACTGGCTTTTATTATGGCCTTATACGTGTGGAAACACGTGTTTCTTCATGAGACTGGAGCTTGTTTCCCCCACGCCCAAGTAAACTCTGCCGAAATCTCAACGAGGCCTTTTTTGTGGTTGGGAAAAAGCCCTGGTCAATGAGGGCAATTATTGGCCGTATAAAACTAACCACAACTCCCTTGTTTGTTTGGTTTTTTTTTTAATTTTCATTTAAATATGTGAACTTCAAATATATGCCATATAGTTTAAAATTCAGGACGGCACAATCCTCACGTATGACTTGTGCCTCTCCTCAGTTTGGGGGCAAACGCCTAGAAGAATTATTTCAATGTGCAAACAATTATTAATTATTATTATTGTTTATTTTTAGGGCTCCATCTTACTTTGCTCCCCGTTGGCCGGCGGGCACAACCGGCCGCTGAGCCAGGCCCTGCCAGGCCGG